TCCCTCCAATGACGTTATCTCAGGCGACTCATCGAAAACCAGTTTTTCTTTGTATCTATAATGCACTTAGTTGAAATAATACTGATTGGCTCGATTATTTTGCCCCAAGATGGTTGAAATGAGGCAGAAGGCCGTGTATAGACCTAAAATATATGAATTAAAGTAGGGTTTGGAAGACCCTCTTAGCAAGTTAGTGTGACTCTACTGTTCATTTCGAAGGAAATGTTGGTCGGAGGCACTTCATGAATTGGTCCCATCGGAATGCGGTGACTTCCCTCTTTCCTAGGAAGGAGGAAAGTCTGTTGAATTGTTCGAAGAAGCCGTCGGTTAACCCTCCTGTGATTTGTCTACTAAGCGAAGAGAATAAGTATGTTGGTGCGCATTCTGATAAAATATGCTTTCTTGCTCTGACGATGTCTGTCACATGAAAGTGTAATGATTTACATGGTTCCATCGGTGTCTCAGAACGCTGGGCCAAGGACTCTTTCACACAGTCCAACAGTTTTCACTTCAAGTCACTCTTCCATCGGTTACTGGTGAGACCGATTGACCAACTTTCCTTTCGAAATGAAAAGTCGAGTCGCGCTAAAGATCTGACAGTCATAGCAAGAAATATAGCAACAATATATTACAAACTATGAGAAGAAAGTATGAAGACCAAGATGGTGTGGCCTTTTTTGTGGTCGCAGTCGGGTTACAGCCCCACCACTTGTGGCTTTCAGAGCCATCTATCACACTACTACATGCTTAGTTAGTAGTGTGGAAAATTATGATATCTTTCATGATTCCCACACCCGCAAGTTGGTATGGAGCGGAAAACTCGCCCAACTAAGTTTCTTTGTTGGAAGGCCTTGGAGATGTCCCATCTGCCCTGCAATAGAGGCTGCACGTCCAAGTGACGCCTACGATGTGGCTCCGAGCCCGGTCGGGAGTCAAGTCTGCGGCCTGGGGAGAGGCTTTGTGAGGGCGAATCATATCGTAGATATGAAGAACAAGCTGTTGCGGTCGATGTATAGAAGTGGTCCGACCTCGTTTTGGCAACTTGGTCATGCTGTCCGAAGACCTTTGCGTTCTTATTCATGATATTTTCCAGTGTCGCATCGTGGAATCGGCACATTCTCAGATTTGCCAATCTCAGCACCAATCTACATCTCGCCAAAGAGACGAGTGAAGTCGATCTATTTACCAACCGCGATAGGAAATTGCCACCAAAACAGGGACCACCTGACTGGGCGCCCTGTAAACACGATTCAGCTGTGAAAACGAGGTAACGCCAACTTTCTATGTGAGATGATGTGACATAGAATGTACCGAGTCCAAAGTTCAACACTGAAGACTATCTTAACTGCTGCAATAGACGACTCCGAATAAGATGTGTCCCATTAGTTCGCCCTGACAACACGACTAAGTTGTGCAAACGAGTTGAAACGTTTCTAGCCCAGAAATGCTGGTAGTTAGGGCCCATCAAGACGAATCCGCACAAGCCCACGTCACTCGCAACATCACTGGCCTACGCCGTGATCTGTCACGTCTCCTGCCGCCCCATGGGAGACACCATGCTCACTCAAGGCCCCACTACCGATTTGGCGGCAGTGCAGGCGAACGCGATTAGTCACCTGCTGAAGCCACATCTCGCCCAGGTGACTCAGCCAACTGCAAGGCCAGTGGCGGTCAGTCGTGCGCGGACCGGCTCCGGACCTGCTCGCCCATTGGTCGAGACCGGGCCAGCCCCAGGCACCTGCCCTTTGACAGACAGCGAGGCTGCCTTCGGCTCTACGTCTCGTCGCCGATGGCGTCCGGCCTGCCTGACCCTCGCTGGGCGCCCGAGTTGCACTTACGTCAGCCCTCCGTTCGGGCTCTCCCCTCGCTCGACTGACACTTCCGACCAGTCATCGGACTAGGATTTGCGTGTGCATCGGTCCATCGGTGCACACGAACACGACATGGCCCCTCGGTTCGCCAATCAGATTCTTCGATCTGCGCTAATCCAATGCACTGATCCAAATGCCGTGGGCCTACACAACCTAATGGCGCCAGACACGTTTGAATGGCAAACGGTGTGTGCACGCTACCCCTCCGGCCCCACCAGCTCAACGCGGATTTGTCAGTTCGGCGGGAAGCCGGACCGAGAGTTGACACCTCGGCCTCACTTGCCGCCAGTCTGATTTTAACACTAAACCTCCATTTACGCCATTATAGCGCCAAATAGTCCCGTGTTTTTGCAAAACACTTTCCTACTGGTGTAATATGAGTAGTATGAGATGTATTCAACCTATTTAATTTAAGGTGATGAAGGACTGGTAGTGGTGCTGGTGGTGCTGGTAAGACCTATGCCAGGTCGAAACTGCAGTCCACTTCAGCCTGGATGAGAACAACTTTAGGGAAGGCAAGACTATGTGAAATTTAATCGAAACGTCAGCTCTACTAATATCATTATGGGAAAATTCTGCTACCAGTCCTTCATCACCTTACACGAAATAGGCTGAATACATTTCATATTACTGATTTACTGGTGGTCTCAAAACTCTGCTTATATACCAAAAGTTTATAATTATATGTTTAGCCCTCTTTCAGATTAATCAGGTTGCTTATACTGTGTTTGTTTCTTTATATGGATAGTTTATTTATTTTCAATTATGAGTATATATAACATTCAGATCAGAGTCGGACAGTCTTCTTGACTTAGTGTTACATTGAAGCTTCTGCAAGAATGAGTTTCAGTTCTGATGAAGTCAGTCAACTGACGTAACAGACAAAAGCTTAGCTCATTTACACCCGAAACTAGGGGGGATGTCTTGTAGATTACCTTAATCTGAACCTTATATTAATATCAAGCGGCTGGAGTACAATGCGAATCAGCCGGCCTCTTTTGGTTAGATTAACTAACGAAACTCTTCATCATTCACTTTTATATGAAATGAAAGTCTCCACAATAATCCCTTCACACTGTCAGGCGGTTGGCAAGGCTTCTTGTTGGGGACCCTGAGTTCCGCTTTAATGCAGTACCAGGTTTAGATTGGAGACTCTTAAGTATTCCTTTTTTGTATTTCCCCTTCTCTATTCCTCTCGCCATGATTATTTATTCCCAATACTCATGATCACCATGATCCTTGATCCTATTGTTACACAGTCTTCTTCTCCACAAGTATTGTCATCATTCTCGCCTGTTGGAACGACCCAACAATCATAATCCAATCACTCTTCCGCGCCTTATTGATATCAATCTCACTTTCAGCATATTTATTGCTATCTCCAACTGCATCTTCCTCGTCGACACATAGAGGCAACGTTCTCTTGGAATTGTATCCCCGTCAGTATAGCCATAATTATTTCTCGAGTCAAAAAAACAAAAATCATCTCGCTTCTTTCAATAATCTGCGTTGTATTCGAAATGCAACCGATATTACCCTTCGAGACGATTCGATTCACATTATTCATTGGTTCGTTGGTCTCATTGAACGAATCAACCCAGTTTAGAGCATAAGAGTCAAGTATTTTCTAATTTTTTAGGTACTTACAAAGTTATGTGAGACGCTTTCACCCCATTTCGTTTAAGGTGATGAAGGACTGGTAATTGAATTTTTCCACAATCATATGAGTTTACCTCAAGTTTTGACTCAAGTTCACATAGCCTTGCTTCCCAAAAGATATTCCCATCCAGACTGGGGTGGATGAAAGTGGGAAAATTCAACTACTAGTTCTTCATAGGCTCAGACGAAACAAGTAGAATACATATCATATATGTGATCTAGTAGTAGTCTCAAAAATCTACTTATATTAAGAAAGCTTACAAAGTTAATTTGTATGCCTTTTATTGACTTAATATGCATATTCACTTCTTGTAAACCAGGTCTGGATCTACGGCGGTGGGTTCTACTCTGGAACGTCTACTCTTGCAGTCTATGATGGCATTTATTTGGCAGCTCGGCAGAATGTCATTATAGCTTCGATGAATTACCGACTGGGACCTTTCGGCTTTCTCTATCTACAACGAGACGAGGTAAGACGATAACCACATTGACGGACACTTTTCCTTTTTAGAGTCACGCACTGAAGTTTCCTTTTTACATGAGTCATGAGTGCCAGCTACTTCCTATCCAGCTCCCCATACCCCCTCTTACCCTTCCCAATCTCAATTTTCTGATGCACATAAAACGCCGAAATTTTGAAGATCATTCCAACATCCCCACTTCGTTGAATTTGAAGATGCAGAGCCAATTGTGAGCTGACGCCTAACCTGGGCTGCAAACTCGCTCATGTGAATTTGAGTGAGGACTCATTTTCTGCATATTATTTCATAAATGCTCCTCATTTACTTTCACTCCTCTCCTTAAAGTTTATTTTTTTCTTAGGCTTAAACATGCTCTGCTCTCTCTTCATTCTACTCCTCAGATGTTGTACCACCTCTTCACCATTTGTCTTATCTCGCGTTTCTTAGGCTCCAGGCAACATGGGCCTCTGGGACCAGCGGCTCGCCATGAAATGGGTCTCCGACAACATTGCGGCTTTTGGTGGTGACCCCGAGCGCATCACTCTGTTCGGCGAATCTGCAGGCGCAGTCAGTGTCAGCTCGCATGTACTCAGCCCCTGGTCACACGCCTTCTTCACAAATGCCATGATGCAGAGCGGTTCGGTGATGAGCTATTGGGGCGTCCATCTGCCCGGCCGTTTGCTTAATCGGACACGAATGTACGCCCCAGAGAAGGCTTTCTTTCTACCTATATAGGTTCCTTTACTCACTTTCCCATACTAATTCGGAGGATTATCTTACTTTAGTAACTATTTGAAATCAACTGGCTAGCACTAGCCATCGTAAGAAAGCATCTTCCCATTAACAATCATATCACTCTCTTTTGGCAGATTCTTGTCAAAACAGAGGGCTAAAGAAAGAAAGAGGGAGAGATAGAGAGACATACAGACAGACAAAGAGGGAATCCTATGTATGCATGATTGAATGCATGTATGTATGTATGTA